CTTTCCTGTTTGTCTGTGTGTAACCTATAACTGCAGAAACAGGGCAGTGGAGGGCAACGATTTTTGAACCAAGATATCTGACATAGACTAGCTTATAAAATGCATCTAAAATCCAGGACCCATGACTCCCATAGAATTAAAATTTGGCAAACTTTATAAAATACATACATAAATACACATATTCATATATATATATAAAGCATATACATGAACTAAAACATAACGTGAGTTGCTTTCTTTCCATTTTAGCAAAAAGGAGAATGTTATGAGTTACTGGCAAATGATATTATTTTCCTATTTACCACTTAAAACTATGCTTGGTTAAGAAAATTCTTTCACTGAAGCAACATCAATGTAGAAACCATTGTTATTATCAATATTGCAGCTGCCAGAAAGTGTTCAATGGTATTAATCAATCATATTAATCTTATTAATCAGAAAAGTAATTAGTGGACATATGCAATGGCCATAATCCAAAGCTAAAGTATATACTGCAACAATGATCATTTTTAAAATATTTTAAAAAAAATGTCATAAGAATTCAACAGATTTTTACAGGAACCCCACCATTGAACACTTTCTGGCAGCTGCAATATTGATAATAACAATGGTTTCTACATCCTAAAACCTAAGACAAAAGTAATATTATGGCAGATGAGTACATTTACAAAAAGCTAATGAATGAATTATCCCAGTAAAGGATATCTCAATCTTTAGCGTTTTAAGCATGGGAGGGCAGGAGATGGTATTACTTCTGTAATCATGTCATCATACTAAATAACATAATTTTCATCTTTTGTGTGATGAAGTCATGAATCAATGTAGCTTCTTCCAGATGCCTATAGTTTTTTTTTTATTAAGACATCTGATCTGTTATCACACCAACACTGAACTCATTTTTTTTTTAAATTTAGAAGCATTATCAATTTGTACTTTGGGAGTTAAAACCCATATGAAACATTATTTTTATGAACCTGAAGTTTTTACATCGTAGAAGACTTACCTTTAAATTCTTACAAAGTCACAAAAAACCTTTTTAAAAGAGCCAGTTTGGAGCGCTGGTTAAGATATTTACCTAGGAACTAGGAGACTGTGAGTTCTAATCTTAGACATTTGCTGGCTGGGTAACTTTGGGCCAGTCACTCTCTCTGAGCTTAACCCACCTCACAGGGGAAAATAGGAGGAGGAACCAGTGCTATGTATGTTTCCTCCCCCTTATTTATAAAGCAATAAAGATGGGATAAAAATATCTAAAAAATAACAATAAAATAAAAAAGGATTTCAGGATAGTAAGAAGGTAGCCTGGCACTAATTTCTAGAAACTAGCACATTATACCAAATATGCTGCAATAGGTGCTGGCATATAGGAGAACAATGCTACTTCCTGTTTTTCAAGAACTGATGAGATAAAATTTATATTACTTCTTTCTTCCAATAGGATGCTGGCAAATCCATGAATACTTGAGTTGTTTCAATTGTAACTTACATTAACCAATCAAAAAATATGTATTGAAGTATTTAAAATGTACAGGTAGTCCTTGACTTATAACAGTTTATTTAGTGACCATTCAAAGTTACAAAGGCACTGAAAAAAGTGACTTAGGACCATTTTTCACACTTAGGACCATTATAGCATCCCCATGGTCACATGATTTACATTCAGATGCTTGACAACTGACTCACATTTATGATGATTGCAGTGTCCCGGGGTCATGTGATCACCTTTTGCAACCGTCTGACGAGCAAAGTCAATGGGGAAATCAGATTCACGAAACAACCGTGTTACTAATTTAACAACTGCAGTGATTCAGTTAACTGTGGCAAGAAAAGTCATAAAATGGGGCAAAATTCACTTAACAAATTTCTCACTTAGCAATATAAATTTTGGACTTAATTGTGGTCGTAAGTCGAGGGCTACCTGTTCTGTATTGCACTGTACTGTAATGAAAATGCTATATTGAAAGATCACAATAAGTTTTAATAAATTTGTTATTTCCTTCCAATATAATATTATCAGTTAATTTTTCTAGATTTAAAATTACAATGTTTTTAAATTAATTTGTTAATTATCAGAAAGCAAAAATAATTACACTTTCTTTTCCATGCCCATTTCAAATTCTCCCATCTATCATATAAAACGTTTGGACTAAAAATGAGCAATGTAAGGAACTTTAAGGTGAAAATGGTAGCATACTATTTTGTTAAAGAATGCTGAGTTAAAAGATACAAACTGCGAGCAATATATTTAGAAAAACTAAATATATGTTTAAAAATTTCATAGTAGTATATCCTACCTCCATAAAGACATGGATATACCAATTGGTTTAACTCAGCAAATAATTTAATAAAGCTATGCAAAAAATGACTTAACCATAAGGACAATACAACACTAATGTGTTTCATAATGTGTATCTTACCCACAGTAAAAGGGTCATTGAACATGTCACTTCTATTTTCTTTCCAGTCCAGCAGGCACCTCAGATTGATGGGATCTGCAGCTTCTATATGAGTGTTAGCTTTCAACATCAAGCTATGAGCTGTTCCAATGCCACAATATACCTTTATTTCATTCATGAGGGCCAAATTGGAGAGAGCATTTGCTGCTTCAAAAGCCTGACTGAAATATTCACAGGCCTTGCTGTAATTCCCCTAGAAAAAAGAAACATACTTCAACATTCCAGATTATCACTTGCAACTTCCAAACTATTTCTATAATGACTCAAATAAAGAATTGCAATGGTTGGGGGTGAGGAAAGAAATATGAAATTAAAACTGAATTAAATCTCATCATTATTATCTTGAGAATGGGCTTTCAGAGTGTCATTTAAATGTCACGTGTCCTTCGGAAAAGAATGGGATGGGATGGGATAGGATGGGATGGGGTAGGAAGCAAAGAGAAAGGAGGGGAGAAGAAGGGAAGGGCAGAGAAGGGAAAGTAAGGGCAGAGGAAAGGAGGAGAGAAGGAGAGGAGGAAGAGAAGGGAGAGGGAAGGAGAGGAGAGAAGGGAAGGGAAGGGAAGAACGCTCTTAATAGAAGTTAGAGTGCTGGCCATGAATGGAGTTGGTTCAAATCTCAACTGATCAGTGATGGCGAACCTTTTAGAGACCGAGTGCCCAACTGCAACCCAAAACCCACTTATGTATCGTTGGGTGCCGGGTGGGCGTGGCCCATTGGGTGGGCATGGCTTCAGTGATAATGGCAGACTGGGTGGGACTAAAAAGTTCAATCAATCAATTCCAACTTTGCAAGATCTTTTTTTCCCCGTGAGAAGTTGAAATTGATTGAACCTTTCTTTTTTTGCACACGGCAGCGGCGGCGGCCTAAAGTGAAAAGGTTTTATAAAACCCAGCTGAAGGCCTAGGACTGGGGCAATGGCACGCGTGCCCACAGAGAGGGCTCTGCATGCCACCTGTGGCACGCGTGCCATAGGTTCACCACCATGGGCTTAGACTAATCATACCCTTTCTGTCGAACCTATGTCAAGATTTGCTAAAAGACTACAATGCATGTGAGAAGAAAAGAAACATATATATTGCCCCAAACTCTTTGAAAAAATCTGAATAAATAAATCTATTCCTGCAGAATTTTGTTTATATTTATATAGTTGTAATATAATAAAGCAGAATTAATACAGAATATACTTTATATAATCTGTTAATCAAATAGTTCAAGTATTATAAATATAAAATATAAAAGAGTAAAATTACAATAAATAAAACATTATTAAATTACTATTCAAGTCAGCAATTAAACACAACAGTATAAGTAATTTCAAATAGAAAAAGCCTGTGGGAACTAAAAGTTTTTATATTCTAGATAGTAAATCTTCTGCTTATTTTAGTCTCACAATAAAACACAGATAAGATCATCCCTCCACAATCCCAGCATTCTACCACTATATACCACTTTATAATGCCTTGGTATTATCATGCTTGGTAATTATAATGCCTTGGTAAAAGCACACTTGGAATATTATATCCAGTTTTGGTCACCACAATATAAATAGATGTTGAGACTCTAGAAAGAATGCAGAGAAGAACAACAAAGACGATTAGGGGACTGGAGGCTGAAACATATGAAGGAATGTTGCAGGAATTGGGTATGTATGGTTTAATGAAAAGAAAAACTAGGCGTGACATGATAGGCAGTGATTCAATATCTGAGTAGCTGCCACAAGGAAGAGGGATCAATCTATTCTCCAAAGCACCTGAAACCAGGACAAGAAGCAATGGATGGAAAGTAATCAAAGAGACAACCAATCTAGAACTAAGGAGAAATTTCCTGACAGTTACAACAGTTAATCCGTGGAACTGGTTGCTTCCAGAAATTGTGGGTGCTGGACATTTTTAAGAAGAGATTGGACAACCATTTGTCTCAAATGGTTTAGGGCAGTGGTGGCGAACCTATGGCACGGGTGCCAGAGGTGGCACTCAGAGCCCTCTCTGTGGGCACGTGCGCCGTCGCCCCAGTCCTAGGCCTTCAGCTGGGTTTTATAAAACCTTTTCACTTTAGGCCTCTGCCGCCATGTGCAAAAAAAAAAGAGGTTCAATCAATCAGTCAATTTCAACTTCTCACGGGAAAAAAAGATCTTGCAAAGTTGGAATTGATTGATTGAACTTTTTAGTCCCACCCAGTCTGCCATTACCACTGCAGCCACGCCCACCCGGCATGGCTTTGGCCATACCCAGCCAATGGGCCACACCCACCCGGCACTCGACGATGTATAAGTGGGTTTTGGGTTGCAGTTTGGGCACTCGGTCTCTAAAAGATTCACCATCACTGGTTTAGGGTTTCCTGCCTGAGCAGTGGGTTGGACTAGAAGACCTCCAAGGTCCCTTCCAACTCTGTTATTCTGTTATTCTATTCTGATATGAAGTAATATCACTAATGTATGCTAATATATACTTGATTTAATTGTACATCAATCTCATCTTTCTACACATATTGAAAATTGAAAAATCTAAAAAATGGAGGATAATTAGGTTACTTAATTCAATTAATCTCAGTTATTTTTTGTGGCATAGTAACCATTAAGTTGATTTCGACCAGTGATAAAAAAATTGACTAGGAAGATAAAACATATGGATATTATGCTCCATTAAAACTTTCTATACTGTGTTAGTGGTTGTAAACATACCACAATACCAAGCTTTGTGGCAATGTCCAATTAGTCAACACTTTTCACTGAAAAAAATTGGACAATTGTTCAACAATTCTTCATAATAAATCCTGCTGTGGTCTTAATATTTATACTTCTTAAGCACATAGGCAAACATAATATTATAATATCCTTCAGTTTATATTATTGTAAAATATTGGATAACCAAAATAGCTATTTCATTGGATCAGGGGAACTGAAAAATGTTGAAAATTTCCTTAATTAAACAATTAATGTAACAAAAATACATTTGGAAAAATATTTATAAACTAGGTAAAATGTTATTTTGTCGACATAAGTTTTCTAATAGATTACTCTCATCTGCAAAACTATTGTTTTGGATAGATATATTGAATATGATTGTTCACAGTATTGATTTCCCAAAATCACAAACATGACCACAGACACAAACGCTCAAGTTGAATTTGTTTTATTTATTCCCTTTTTTGTTTTGTTATTTAATACTACAGTTTTATATATTGAGCCAATTTTTAATCAAATGTCATAAAACTGAAATATTTAAAAAAACATGTAGGATTTGTTTTTATTACAATGTAGTAAAAATCAGTTAGAAAATACAGCAACAGTATATTCAGATTGCAGATACATGGTGGTAAAATGTTTAACATCACATATATATTAATGCTGTTTCTGACTGATGTAATAGTATATACAATATGTTATTAAATTAAAACTTACACTTTCATTGTAAATGTTTCCAAGGAATATACATGCATCCACAAGACTTTGGCTCAGCTGAACTTTCTTGGCAATATCCATGAACATTTCCAAGTATCTAATAGCTTCACCTTTTTTCCCCTGACTAAGGACAAAGAAACTTGATATTTATTGAAGAAATTCATTATATTAAACAAGAATATAACCGAACATCCACCAAACAATCTGTGTATATAACCTTGTTTTTAAAAGTTATAGAATGTAAGTATGAGTCAATATAGAGGAAAATGATAAATTGCAACAACTGCTATAGGATAGATTCTTTCAAGATATAATGACTGCTTTTTAATTATAAACTTACACTACATACCATAGTTGCACTGACTTGTAGTGCATCATCACCAATAATCATCCTGAGATCGTTCCCAAATCTAACCTTAATGTTGGAAAATGAACACTGGTAAGATTTTTGCATGTTTTTGATAAAGAAAGCTACATTAACTTTTCCCATCACTAATGCAATCTAGCTAAACCTGTTTGTGAATAAACATGATTTCAATACTTGCCTTGAACCTAAATGCCTAAGGTAATCGTTCAGATACTAAATTGTGAAGCTATGAATAAACCACAATTTCTACAATAATATAATAAATAATACAAAAAATATCTATATATAATTGCAAAGGATTTTTTTATTTAAAATATAGGAGAAAAACAGTAGATACAAAAATAAACATGTATAATTTGTAGAGCAAAATATCAGTGGCATGCTTGAATCTTACATGCAAACACAAGTCTCTGCGAGACTATAATACTGTTTTGTAATATGTTCACATGATTAAGGTGAACCAAACTAATGCAGTAGCTAACTTAGTTATAGATATAATGCTATCCATAACTAAAAGTAAATTCTACTAATTTACATTTTCAAACTGTAGCTTAAAAATTGTATGAGATTAAAACTAATATTTTAAAATTTTGCAATAAAATGTATTGATTTGATGTTATTTTATTACATTTTTGAAAAGGCCATCAGATATTATGAGGATATAAAATGCATTGCAAACATTTACTGCATGTCAAAGGGTTTCTAAACTTTAAAGAAGAGACACATTTTGAAAGCTCTTTTTTCTTTCAAAGAGGAAGAAATCAAACATTTTCACACAGAAAAACTGAACTGATTCATAGAAGTTAAAGGACAAGGTTAAAATGTTATACAAATATTAATTCCAGTTTTTCTAGTTTTCTATATGCAGTGCACAGGTGCAACTTGAACAACATATTATATGGTATAATCACTAGATTCATTCAACCAGGCCTTAGAGAGTTAAAAACATATATTCTGAGGAAAGTACTCTTCGGTCCAAAGAATGAGAATGAAACTGTGCAGAATATTTGTGTATCAAGGTGATTCCAGTTTCCAATTGGGAAAACAGGACCGTTAACACCCACATCCCCTGACAACTGTCCAATTATGTATATCACACTTGGCCTACTGTTTGCAGTAGAAGTAATCAATAAAGGATGTGGTTGAGTGAACATAGATTTTGGTTGAACCAATGCATGAAATCTTAATCATTTACTCAGAGTGAAGAAATCAAATAGAACAGAGATGAAACAGCTACCAAGGGGGTTGTTGATTGTGCCACCATGTTTGTGGGTTGGATGGCTGAAAGTAATAAATCAGATGGAACCAGTGACAGGAGAAAATGAATAAAGGTTTTCTTAATGCAATGAATTAATAGAAATGTTTTTGAGGATATCTGGATAGTTTTGAGATTGCCCAGTTAGATTCCACATTTCATTTATAAAAAATAAGGATGCTACTATACCATTCAATTTCAATAAAGCAAATGGAAAATAAAAAGGGGGAAAGGAATTAATGAGAATAACAACCAAAAGGAAATATGCTTCTACAGAGTTTTACTTCTGCCATGAGTGTAAAACTCTGCTACAAAATTAAAATAAGATTGAAGAAGTCTGAAATACAATAACGGAGGAATCAAATTCTGCAAATAAATAGCATTAAACAATAATCTGCCTATATCTAGAATTTAAAACAACACTTTTATTTTATAGTTTATTTAGAGATAAACAAAATCTTCTCAATGAAACCATATTTTCAGTGAAATACAAACTTATATTAGAATGCAGAAGTTATTATCCACAAGAAAAAAAACCATATATTCGGCCAACATCACGATGCTGTGATTAGAATTAATTGTAAATTTTGAGAATAAAACTAGTATTTTTTTAAAAAAAATATATTTGGAATATGTTGAAAAACACAACATATACTTTTACATTGAAAATAAATCTGTAGAAAATTCTTCTGTGTGACCTCTTTATATTGTTAAGATGGGCCATCTTTATATGCACAAAGTAATTATGAATAATTATTTAATTAATTTATAATTAAGCAAAATGTAATATTTTTGGAGTATTACAATAATTAAATTATTTAATATAAATGCTTCAACCTATGAAGCATTTATATGAAACACTTTTCCAATCCAATCAATATTTATGAAAAACATGAAAAAAAGAATGTACTAAATCTATTTTAGTCATTGAAAATCCTATTGTACCACTCTAGGTATAATAAATCAGAAGTTTATATGCACAAATCGGTATTATTCAAACATTTGAACTCAGGAACTTTCTATATTTTTGAACTATTGCATTTGCAATTATCCTAAAATCTTGGAAGGCGGGGGGCTTGCGGGAGCCAAATAATGACAGTAGAACTATATCTATCATTAAGTCCTAAAGAATCAGGATGTCATATGGGACTTTAGAACTAGGAAATTCAGTTCAATTTGAGACAATATGTTCTAAAAAATGCAGTCTCTCTGTCAAAACAAAAGTTGCATTGGCAGCTGGGCATCTATTGTAATTTAAAACCCATAAACATATACACTATGTGCAATTATATGATACTGTACCAATTTCATTTATTTCAATAGGAATTGTGTACTGCTCTGAAATGAATCATGCATTTGCACAGTATGAGGGTAAACAGGTATGAATTAAAAATAAAATAAAGAGAGAAAACGGTTGGGTTTTTTTGACAATTTAAGTGGTGATGACAATTATCATTATATCAACTACCTTAAAAATTAATTCTGTGAAAGTGTAATAAAATGCTTGCAACATATTAACGATAAATAACAGATTTTTTTAGGTTATGCAGCATAAAAGAACTGTAGTTGTGCAGCAAAAAATTAACTCATAATTAAAGGCTCTGAGAACTCTACAGCGTCCCAAAGGAGTCTGTCCACTGAGCCTCTGCAAAGTTCATTGCTGAAGATTTGCACCGTTTTAGTCAGCTTTTCTGGGAGAATGATTAGTATTGTCTAATCAGCAAATGGTTGTGAATGATTCAATTATTCCGGAAGCAAAGATTTATCAGAACTACCGCCCATAGTTTCCCTTTGCATTGCTGGGTTTCATTGCTTCCTTCCTTCCAAATGGGAAGCAACATACCGTAGCCTGCTGTCATACAAAGCAAGTATGTCTTACAATTTCCACAGCTGAATTAAATTAAAATGATAGCAAGACAAGAATATGCCAACCTACCTTAAAAGGACCCGAGCTACTGTTTGATATGCTCTCCCTAATCCAACATAATCTTCCAGTTCTTTGGATATATTCAGATAAGTATTTAACTTCTATAAAAGAAAAGAAGAGGAATAAATAGAGGTAGCTTGGTTGATAATATTTGGAAATATTCATTTAAGGATTTTATTATAATAGTTTCACTTCAGTCTAAGCATCATGCATACGCATATTGTATATCATTTAATTAAATAAAAAAGCATTACTAACTAGCCTAAAGGAAAGTAAACCAATGGTTTCTGATTAATAAGGTTGTTCTAACAGGGCTCCTACAAGTACATCATCTTTATCCATATATGCAGTACTGCAGCAATAGTTACGATTAGAAGTTTTCAAATTATATCCAAAATAACCAGTTGCAATATGTTGTACATAATTTAAAAGAAAAATAGTATTGAAAACAAATTACTACAGAGAAGTTCCCTGAGGATGGGCTCCAGCATGAATTTGAAAGCTCGGAAGAACAAATCTCTGGTCCCGGTGACCAGCCTAGATTGGATCCTAAAACAAGTTGTTTTATCCAGATATACTACATATACTTCTTTACATAAATATTTTGTTAATTTTAGAATCAGTCAACTAGTATCACCTCTTCTATAAGCAAAGTTGCCGTAGTGAAACTTATTATCTTAATTTAACTAAAACACTGCCATCATCTCCATGGCCTACTTTTTAAAATCACGCATTTGAATGAGCAGTAGCAAAATGTACATATATAATGACATTTCAATTTTTCTTCTACTTCTCATGGTACTTTCATTCAATCTATTACACAAGTCTCCAAAGACTATCTTTGGAAATCCTTTTTTGCAATTTTTAAATAAAAGATTAGTGAATGTCAGTTTCCAAGTTTAATGGGGAATAGGAGATTAAAAAGACTACAGTGAGAAATATACGCAAACTATAAAGCCTGACTGGATGAATAGGTGTATTAATTGTGTGAACCACAAGCATCTTCAGCAAAAGTAAACTCAATTAGAACTGGGGATAAATCATTCAGATATTGATAGCTAATTTTTCTATAAACACTGCAGAAGCTAAAGTGCATTTCAATCAGGTCACTTGGAATAATATTTGCAACTTTTAATGTAAATCTGCATGGTTAGGTTCATAGAACATGTTAAGTCATATTATAGTTAGTTTTATTGTAGCTTTGCATATAAGGTGAAGAGTTTTAGTTTCTAATTTACAGCTATACTAATTTATAGCATAAATACTATTTATTTACTAAACAAGCCATATACAAGTAATATATACACCCTGTCTGTGCAGTGGGGTTCATATTAATATATAGCATGGTCAATTTGAACCATTCAGCCAACAAAAAGAAATTTATTTTCTAAAATACAGATAAGAATTGGAAATATTTCAACATACTCTTCTGGATCTCAAAATAAATTGATTTGATTCATACCTCCCAACATAAAGTATATGCAGAGTGACATTTTATTCTACAGCTTTGGCCTTTAAGACATTTTTGTTACAGTGCATGTACATATTATAGACATATATGTGATATGCACATTTTAGTATAAATGGTATCTAGAATACATTGTAATACTCAATAAACAGACTGGTTTTTTTATAATATCCCACCACAAATTACTATAGTAATGGCAGGTCGGATTTATTAAAAAATACATATGAAATTGACATCTCAAAATAGTCTGATCTGTTGATGATAAAACCTTAATTGTGAATGATATGTAATTCAGAGTTGCGAATTTAGGACAGTATAGAAATTATATTAATGAATACATAAGTGCAGTGATTGAAGTATCTAATAATGTTTGAAGCATTCATTTATTATACAGCTTCTTCTAACCCTATTGTTCTACTGTTCCTAAGACCATTTTCATATTAAACTGACCTGCTACCACTGAGTTATCATATGTTATTTGATGCCCATTAAAACAAATACAGGTATCTTTTATATAATTGTATTGCCAAATGGAGATGCTTGAGATAATTTAAAATGTTTTTTATGGGGTGAAAAGCATTAAAAGCCAAACTTAAAGGATGGTACTATAGGCACTAACCTGAAATAGCATCTCCCTGACATAGCAAGAGAAGAATGGGTCATTTGCAGGGCTCTAAATGTCCATCGTGTCCACTGGAGTAGTTTGAGAATCAACTTGGTCAACAGAGATACTCCACTAGACCAGAGATAAGAAACTATCTTAAAAGAAATATATCTTGGTAAATAGATACAAGACGAAAAACTCATTTTTTGCCTTAGGATTTTGTGACTGTTTAGGCACAAATATAATAGATTTTAACCCATCTTAGAACCATGTACTCTGTTTATAATATATATATGAAAAACATATTATTCACTCTTTTTGGTATGTACAATATAATCATAATACAGTATACTTTTTAAAAAAAATTAAATATAGGATATTTATTATTTGTATCTTATAATTAGTCTCTTTCCATGGATCTATATTTTAGTTATATGTGGAATAAAAAGTACTAGTGCAAATCTAAAGTTTTTATAAAATTTTCATAAAAATATTTCTTTATGAAGGCAAATGTCTGGTGCAATAATCATTATTCATATTTAAAATAGTATTTGGTTTCACTGTAAGTATAATAATTATTCCTGAGTTTATGTTTCTAATCTTGTGATTCTTTTACCTTAAATCAATCCTCCTCTTAGGATGACCTTTGCCAGAATGCATCAGGATATTTTGCAATAACAGAATTATCTTTGCAATAACAGAATTATCTTTTCAAGGCAATAGGGTACAGGGTAACAACATTTCTACCTTGTATTTGCAAATATATTTTTCAGATGGTTAATTCTGCTGGTGAAAATATGAGGCAAAAGAATTATGTTATCTAGAATATGCACTCTGTATATAAATATATATATTTATATATTAAGTAACATATATTGTCAATATGATTTTTCCCCCTCAGTGTAATAGTAGGATATTTAATTTTACATGGTTAATGGCAGTCTCTGGATTAAAATAAAATGAATTCAAGTCCATATATATAAATGTCAGCTAATCTGTCTTCTAGAGTGGAAGCTTCAGTGGAAATATATTAATAGTATGAAGAAATTATAGCAAATATTAAAACAGGGCATTCCAATTGAATAATAATAATAATAAAAAAATCTATAGTACAGACAGAGGTGATACAAAAAGCATTGAATTTTTTTAAAAATACTCTAATCCAATAGTAGGTCTAAATTGTATTTATGTTGTCTTAGCATTAAATATGTATTAAATTTGTATTTCCTGGGGTCAGACTTCAAAATGGAGGTCAGCTTCAACCCAACATTGGAGCTATGGGCTTTGTCTTACAGATAACATAGGATAACATTCTTTTTTATCAATATCCATAAATCTGTCTGAACCATCTTTAAGCTTGAATTTCCCTTCTGTTATATAAAAACCAATGTACAAATTGTCAGCTGCAATATACAGACACTCATGCACATTCTGTATACTATTTGTCTTCTACTTTAAAGTATATTTTATGACATCTTTATGAATGCCTGTTTTTGATTATTTTGTTCTTTCTAAAATAGTTTTTAACTCTCTCTCATACTACCTCTGGCCTGAACTAATACATTATGATAATGGTTAGCTGCCCTTTCCTCATAAATTTGAGTAATCTTGTAGTTATCAATTCTGTAATTTAAGTATACTTTATGGAAAGAAGTACTTCTTTGATTAATCCTGAATCTTTCACTATTTAACTTCATTTGCTTATCCCTGGTTCTAGTATGAGATACATAGACAAATGTTCCTTTTTCTTTTCTACACATTTTGCCTACTTGATACACTTGTATAAACCGAATAATCTTCAAACAGACTTCCGAGATTATTTGATAATGTCTTTATGTTGAAAGAGGCCATTCAGCCCATCAATTTCAACTCTTTGTTATGTGTACAGAAATTAAAACATCCTTGACAGATGGGCTATAGCCTGTGCTAGAAAACATCTGTTTGAATGAAGATCACATCCTTCTCCCAATATCAAATTGCTTTTCTCCACTTTTTCCACTCTTTTAAATTTTATTGCATCCTTTTAGAAGTGAGTGGCCAAATCTATATACAGTGTTCTAAGTATGACCACATCATTATTTGTGACATTTTCAATTGTTAGCATGGAATTCATTTTTTTCACAGCAGCTGAATAGATAGAGACTGACATTTTTATCAATTTATTCACAATCTGAAATTTGTTTCCTGATCGGTCACTCCCAATTAAGATCTCAGGCTTAAGATTTTTGCCTCAGTATTTATAACTTTATATAAGCTGCTTATACTCGCTTAAATAATACAATTTAAAAATATTACATTACATTACATATCACATCTATCCACCCTCTCTGTTCTGTGGCACAGAAAATATATTAGGAATTTTCCAATTTCATATCCAAACTAAGTTAAAACATGAGATTTAGATTTTCAACTATAAAGTTTCCACAGCAGTGTATTACAGTATATGTCACTATATAAGCACCAATAATTTTATGTTGATGCTTATGATATTATGATGCTCAGAGATTCTGGTTTGTCTTAAATAAAATTTGTATTTTATTCAGAAAATCAAGGTAATATATAAACTCCAAAAAACAGGAAAAAGAAATTTTACAAAAACAAAAGAGCAAGGGATTAAAGTAAATCAACTTTCAATTAATTTTTAAAAGAAAAATCAAGATAAAAAAGAAAAATTCAAACTGTGCAGTTAAACCCAGGAATGCTTAAAAAAAACAGAACGAAGAGGAAAGATGGAACCCAACTCTCCGAATATTCCTATTGGGAATTGCAATCCTCAAGATTCCTCTTCCCAGGAGAGTCATCTGAGGGTCGTCTTGGGTCATTCTGCTTCCATTCAGATCTAGGGAAATGGCTACCAAAGAACCTGCTTTGGCAGCAAAATCAGCTATTTGTCAGCAGGAGGAAAAAATTCCCTGCTGCTCAGCATACCATCTTGGGGAAAGTCCCCTGGTTGGACAATCTGGCGCAGAGTCTTTTTAGGCCAAGTGCTCAGGAACCAATGTAACACAATATTGTTTGAGTTTGTATAA